GGGGGAGTCAAGAAAACAACACAATATGGGGTGCTGGGGTTAGGGTTAGGGTTAGGGTTAGGGTTAGGCCGGGGGTCAACAGCATGAGGAGACGCACAAAGGAATCCTAGTGTTTGCGCAGCCCATGTGACCAAGGGGGGCAAACACAGGCCTGTGAGCTCCATCTGGGCCAGGAGGGTCACAAGACTAATGTGCCTGGGCTGTCAGGCATTTCCGCTTCCTTAAATCAATGCCAGGTCATCCCCTATTGTGATAGACAAAGTCTACGACAGGCGAAGTCAAATGCAGATAACAACACAGATTAGCGCGATGACTATGTATTTAAATGTTCATTTCCTGACAAATTCATACCTTCCTCGCTTCCTATCACACATTCCGATCTGCTGCTGCTGACACCATACATATGAAGAATAGCCGTGCCTTCAAAGGCAGGAGATATCCACAGTCACTTCAGATTTGCACAAGGCAGCTCATCCTCCGCCCTCCCCTCTCCTTGGGTATCAAGTGATGACAAGCAACATTGAAAGGCTGACAAGGGTCTGCCAGCAACAACATTGTCCTCCGCAGAGTCACCAGCGGGAGCGCCGCTGTGAGTGCCCCTAAGTCCTCAGCTGCCTCGGGGCTAAGCGTGTATGCCACAGATTCCCATGATGCCGAAGGGAAGAGGGCAACCAGAGACCAGAGCCTCGCGACCACATCTCCGAGCTTGGTCTTGCACGGCTGCTGATTTTCATCCTCGATACGCTGATCCCACAAGCCGTCCTGGCATTACATGGCACTCAGCCAACAGAGTGACAGAAGCAATTGAGTCTCCAGTCGCTTTTCAAACAAAGGCTGGGAGATAAGGTGTCATCGGGAGGTTGGGGGCCACGACGGCGGGTGATAGATTTGCAGGCTTTTTAGCAACTTGCGATATTCCACTGAGAAAATGCTGGTCTGTACCGCAGAAGGGGTTAGGCCATCAAACAGGGGGTTGGGGTGACCTCAGACCCCAGAAAAGACACATGGCACCAGGCCCCCTCTGGTCGCGGGGCAGAGCCGGTACGAGGACCAGCAGACCAGTATAGCGGAGGGGACCAAGGCTGGTTCTATGCTCCCATAACTGCTGCTGCACAAGGGGAGTCAGAACGTAGCTGCGGGGGGGGGGTGGGTACTGCTTTAGAAGTGATCCTGTGCAGTGGCAGACAGAGCCAAGAGAGGCTAATGGAGGGCGACGTTCCTGGGGGGTAGGGGGGGGCTTCAGCAGACCACAGCCAGAGGCGTAACTCCAGGCGACGCGGCCCTTTGCCACAATTAGGCACGAACTCTGCCCCCCCTCCCGGTCCCGCTACAGTGCATTTTTCTGTTTCAGGTTGGTAACGAGGGTGCAGCCTTATAGCTAATCCCAGTGCGAGTGTTTATTGGTGGCTGGATGTATAGACTGAGGATTTTTACCCTGCCACCTGTCACTTATGAATTTGCCTGGCAGTATCAGTGTATAAGCAACCCCCCCCCCCCCCCCGCCATACCCCCCCTGCCTGTCCCTCCTAAGTGTCAGGTGAGAGGACAAAGCAGTACATCGGCACAAATGGCCCACCTTCATTATTCAGAGCCAGACGACGCACACAGCAGCGGGTTACATCTTTGTGAACAAAGCATATCAGCTGCTGAAACTCACATGGATTTTTAGGGTGTACTATAAAAATGCATATGCTAAATTGTTATTCATTTCAATGGTCATGCAAACTATCTAGCGTATAACTTTTGATTCTCCTTAATTAAAAAGCACACATTCATCTTTTTCTTTCTAATGCATTCACTACTGAAATGTCACTGACCAGTCATATCACCCATTTCAACCCAGCGCCTAGAAACAGCCTGGCGACAAGTCACGTGACACGGAGGGTCGCACGAGGGCTCTCATCTCTGCATGGATTCTACGTTGTTTCCACCGGGCGATACGAAAGACAATGGATCGTAATCCGGAGGCAGCGGGAAGATTAAAACGCCTGGTGAGAGAGACGAGCCTTAAAACTCCGGGGTTATGTCCCGGCTTTGATCACAGACTCATCCAACATTTGTCCCTTGGGATCCCCCCGCCCCCCCGGGACTGAGGGCCCAGATCGTTTGATCACACAGAGCCTGGCCACCAACGGATCTAACAAGCTTTCTGGGTGGTGGTAGCAGATTGAGGGGCCGCTTCGCTCGCCACTACTCATGGCGTCACCACGGAGGGGTGCAGTGCCCGTGCCAGTTGCCCGGCGACAAGAGGGGATAATCCCTCTGCGATATACACATCCAGAAACATGAAGAGGACCGCCAGAAAAAACAAACCAAAGCACAGATCGGATAGGAGATAAATTCACAAAATCCCCACATCCTCATTTTTTGTTGCGATCTTTGGATTTGGGGAGGAGGATGAGCGTTCCACTGGCTCACGGTACATTCCTGACCTCTGTCGCTGACTTGGGCTGGTATTGATCTCTATCAGCCAATCGGGGTCTACGACGCCCCCTCTCCTCATGGAAGACAAGGTCCAGTGCATTAACGCAATGACCGAGGAGACATCCATCTCTTTAATAGGGTAACCACGGCATCTGTAGTGGAGCTAATGCTACAGATCATACTGCTCCGGTACTCTGTGTTTTCACTCCGCGGCTGGGGGAGGAGGCTCTGATAAATTGTTGCCAAGCTCAGATTAGGCAGTTCCTCTCTGGGTTTACTGACCCGGCAGTCAGCCCGGGCGCAGAGTGTGTCACGTGTGCAATGGCAGAAGACGTCAATCTCAGAGCACTTACAAAGAGAAATCACCCAATTCATCAGGGGCATGGAAAGATTAGGTACTGGAGATGGATCCAGCCGTCTGCCTGAGTGAGAATCGCCGGCCTCTCTGAATCACGGGGGCTACCCTAATGCCAGCTTTGTCTTTGCGGAGCTGACTCACCATGGATAACGTGAACCCCCCTTGCTGCCATTTCTTCTGGTCTTTTCAGCCCCACCCACCAGCAGAACATCTGACATCACTGGGGAAAATGACATGAAAAAATGGAGACCCACCAAACTGGTCAACAGAGCAGGAGAAATTGAAGATCATAGCTGGAGACCCACAGGATGAGCCTTGGGCTCAGGGAGTCTGGGCTGGCATTAGCCCATCTAGCACAACATGCCACCCATTTCCCTGTGCCAGGCAATTTAACACCTTCCTCTGAGCACAGTGTGAGGGGGGGGGGGGGGTGCAAACCAGCCCAGTATGAGTGTGCACAGGGGAACACCCAGCCCAACTGATGACTAAGATTTCAAAGTATTGCTGGTTCTTCAAATAACATGCTAGATAAACATCTCTGGTTTTTCCACAAGAACAAGGCAAAACAGCAGCAGACAAATTAAAAATAGCGACAGCTTCCGACTGTTAGGTACTGATCAGGCTGATATGGAAATTCAACAGACTGGAATGGAGACTAAAGAAACTGGTATAAATGCCATACAATCAAAGCGTGTCATCCATCCATCCATCCATCCATCCATCCATCCATCCATCTTCCAACTGCTTATCTTAATTAAGTCACAGGGGTCGTGAAGCCTCTCTCAGGCAGAACAGGGTACAAAACAATTCCAAATTTATTACTATGTTTTTTTAAAATGTTTATATCATATTCTAATGAGTGCTTGTTATGTTGTTTTTGAATGCATTTGTAATCATTGGTCAGCCATCAGGAACCAGACAGATGACTCTGCCTCATGTGATATGTACAGCCAGCACCTGTCTGTCAGGTATTTATTTTTACCTTTTTACGCATCCTGGAATGCCTGTGCCGAGCTTCACCGCCCCCCCGCCCCCGCCACGTGGCTTCACAGCAGCCTGCTCCATTCCGCGTTACTCGCCGGTGAGCCCTCAGCCGTGACAACCTCTCTCTCTCAAGAAATGTTCAGAAACATTCTAATTCAGTGGGAAGCCCGACGTCCCGCGTTCTGAATTTCCTCCACGGCTTAAAATGCCATGTACAGCACGGGTAGCCCCGGGGCATTCAATAAAATGATAAGGTTAATATAGATTACAGGATTTTTGTTAACAGATAACGGCACCCTGACTGGGCAGAACTTCAGCTACAGTGGGCAGACTTTGAACCCACAACAGCCTTCACAGCCTAATTCGACTGCACCGCTCTGGCCTCAGTCTGAGGGACGCTGCAGTAACCAGGGCAACAAGGCGGGGAAACGAAACTCAGAAGGTGAGAGTCGCCGTAACCCAAGCCCCAGATAAAGGGGCTGAACAGCCCGACTTTCAGTCCATCCTGCTGCCATTAATCTCTATAAATATGTAAATGCACTACCTGCTAAGTGACATTTCTGCGCTGACATGATAAGGGTGTGAATCATCGCTGGGCACACGCCACTTCCAGGTTGCACCGCGATCCCCGTGTCCCCCTCATCTGTGCCGCTGACAGAGGCACATTTACAAACTGACACTCCACTTAAATGCCAGCTGTTGCCGTCGTTCCTTAAATGCAGCGTCCGTGAAAACAAAAGCCACTGATAAGGAGGGGAGGGGGTGTAAACCAAGCCCCCAACCTGCCACGTACATTACTGCAGCTAGTGAGGATGACAGGCTTATAATTAAGATTGAAATATGGGGAAAGAACCCAGCTGAACAAAGGTTCGAAGCCGCCACCTGACTGAAGAGAAGGCAAGGAGTGCAAAAAGCTGCAATCAAATGCCTGCCTACTCAAAACCCTAGGAAGAAGCAAGAACCTGAAATCAACAGTTTCCCAGCCCCCGGGAACTGCTCTCTCCACAGAGATTTTCAGCCGTGCGCGAATAAAGATGAATGAGAAACTTTCACTTTTAGTCGAGTGTGCGGAGCTGAAGAGCGCGAGGGAGTCACGGTCAGGAAATAAACAGAACGGCGGCCGTAAAAAGTACTTTGTAGTTTAGTTTGAGCGCACCTTACAAAGGCAGCCGAGGTGAAAGCAAAACAAAGCGCGTTGCCGGACAGAAAGGAGCGAGGCGCGGAGCTTATTTACCGTTACAGAACTGTAGCAGCGACGAGGTGTCATAGAGGGTGCTGAAGCTGCAGAAGCCGTCTTCCATTCTCCCTGGCTGCCCCTCTGCCTCCCGCTGCCGCCCGCGACTCTCCGTCACTTTCGCTTGCTCGCCACGGCAGCTCTTCCTCCATTCAACATCCAGTTGTCTTGGGTTGGCCTGCCAGTGTCAGTTACCATGGCAACCCTTTCACTCCGATTATGTCATGTGAACACAGCCCCCCCCCCTTCCTCCTGAATGGACCGTCGGCAGAGTCAACGTGGAAAGAGGAGGAGACTTTTGCGCAGGAGTTGGAAAAGAATGTTTTCATTTGTTGTATGTTCCTTCCCGTCCTGCCTCCGGCGTCCCTCCCTCTCTCCACCTTCCTCCGTGTCGGGAGCGTCGTGCCATTAAAGCTCGTCCTGATCTCTGTGAGAAAAACAGCTTAGGAGGAGTTGAGCTGTGAGAGGAAGGCCGGCCCAGGGACTTTGCCTGAGCGCGCGAGTGTGTGTGTGTGTGTGTGTGTGTGTGTGAGCGCGTGTGTCATTCCTCACAGGCCACAGAGCTGCCAAACTGCCTTCTCCAGTTCCAGCTTGACAGGCAGTGTGAGCCAGTAATAACTCAGAGGGCCGAGCCTCATTCAAAACGAGACCCCTCCCCTATGCTGGGGAGGGAAGAGCGGAGCGCAGAGCAGAAAACAGGAAAAACGGCACATCAGGCAGCAGTGGGGGGGGTGAATAGATGTGAGGAAGTCAGGTAGAAAACCGCATGGGGGCTGGAGACAGCGAGGGAACAAAACAGCCAGTTTTCCCAGCTTCGGAAGAGGCTGACACATCTGATGCTGGTTGGAAGCTGACAGATTCTGCAGGCTGCGAGCCAAGCTGACGTGTCAGACGTAAAACAGCTGGTAAAAACTTGGGACGGGCCTGTAGACTGTGACTAGCTCCTGCTGGACCCTGCCTTCCTGCCACTCGACCCAAAAGCACGGAAGCACTGTGAAAAGGACACCCCCGCACGGGAGACGAAGCATTAAGCCTTACATCAGCAGCGTGGCCCCCTCGGCTGCCAAAATGTCTTCATGGTTGATTCATATTCCTGGGGGGGGGCCGAGTTTATAGTCTGCAAGGATGAAAGTGCTGACGTGTGGGAAATTGGCTAGGACTGGGTGCAAATACACAGCACCTTAAACTGCAAGAATGAAAAAAGGTTAAGCTGGAATAGGAAGACTCCCATTGCATAGAAATCCTATAAGGGGGCCCCCGGGGAGAAAAAGAGGGGATTTAGCACTTTCTGTCTCCCCTCATGATAAAACAAGTAACATCACATGCCCAAGCTACCCCCCCATGGCAAAGACCCCGTCATAGCCCTCTCCCACTTCAAATGAGCTCCAGCAATCCCAGCTTCAACGTGTGGTTATTAGCTGCAGCCTTATCTGTCTTTAAGCAGACAGCTCCGGCCATGTAATCATCAAAGGCGGAGGGCGGAGGCGGGGGCTCCGTGGGTCTGGCAGCGGGGCTTCCGCAGTGGCCACGGGGGATAACCACCCTCAATTATTCATGTGCCTGCGTGGAAAAAATATGCATAGTAATGACTGTGTGGCCTATATTTACTGGAGCCCTAAAGGTGATTTTCTCGGGCTGGTGCTGGGTGGATACTGGTGAGATGGGAGCTTAGTGGGTGGATACTGGACTGGGAGACAGGGACCGTCCGGAAGCGGGGCTCCCCACGGGCTGCCAAAGCAGCAGAGCATGCGGGCGGCATTCACATGCGGCATGACACGAGTGGACTGGCGCCCAAGCACGATTAAGGCTGCCGACATCCCTCCCACCCTCCTCCACTCCGCAGTTACGACTTCTCACTGCATCTCAGCAGCATCCCCCTTCTCTCATTTACGAAGACACACCCCCCTGAAGCCGTTCACGTTCATTTAAACATTTGCACATCATTCACGCTGACAGATTTGTCTAAATGGGTTTGCCCAAAGATACCGAGATGCCACGATGGCATAACAGCGACCTAAATGAGACGTGTTACTCGTAAAGGATCGTTCACGCTTCGCGGACCACTCGGGCAAACGCTCCCATTTGGAAGCCAGGGGCAGCATGTAAATGACGGCTAATTTCCTTTTCCCTGCATGAAAATTAAACTGTTTCCTCAGACAACAAAGAGCGGATGCCGGCTGCGCTTGACGAATTGTCTGCTGCTAGGCACCTGATCTGTACTTGTCTCCAGAGGATGAGGATCCGTGATTTTCTTACTGGGGACCTGTTTCTCCATCCTGGTAGTCTCCCTAGTCTGTGAAACGTTTGGGGTGAAGCGCAAAGTATTGAAATGCAAAGCTGCTCGTAACATCCTGCAAGTTGCGACGTGACAGATGTATGAATCCGTCGCACGTTTCGGAAGCACCTGTCAATCCACCAATCACACGTACGGGGGCCACACCCATACGAGTAAGCGGCAGTCATTTCAGCCTTTGTGGATTGGGATGGAAGACAAAAAGAAAAACTGTTTGTTTTGCCGAATGTGATAAGAGCATCAAATTACAGTCTGTAATCCTGTTATATACAGTGTAACCAGGCTCACACATCATAAAATGAAATAAAATACAGAATTTCCTCTATCATTGAACTTCATTGATGCTTTAATTACTATCATTAGAATATTATATGACCAAATTTCCAAAAACTGCGATGAGATAAAATTGGCAGAATGGCTGGTGGCGGGGGGGGGACACTTTAAACAAGCCTGAAAACTGGGTCCCTCATCCCATTGTTGGAACAGCTCCTGGTTGCCCTCCAGTGCCTCAGTGCAGAGATGCAGCCCCCCCCCGCCAGCTCTGGGGGTGGAAGCAACAGCACCCAGTCGGCTGATCACAGCGGGCAAACAAACGCAGCCCGCCTGGCGAACCCTTAATGCTGTAACTCTGTATTCATGTGGACTTGGCACCACAGGCCGCCTGGGACTGGTGGGCGGGATCGGGGCCCGTTAAAAGTCCTGCCAAAGAGGTTTAACCCCTTCCTATGCCGTGCCATCAATGGTGATCTCCAGCGTCGTCAGAAACGTCCTGCCCGTGCCCAAAGCTTCTGCAAGCTTGGTGAGGATGCCGACAGGAAGCTGTCCTTGGCTTTTTTCAAAACTATAACAGGGTTATCCCACAGAGCGGCAAAATTCGCTCCTCCTGTCACTCGTCACTCGCCAGATTGGGCGGGAGCGCCACCAGGTGTAGACGACGGTCCCCGTCGCGCGACAATCCATTTCCAACTCCGCCACAGGAGGAGGACAGCAAGAGAAATAATGTTCTTGGTGGGGGGTATGCCCCCCCCCCCCCCGCCCGCGTATAATCAGCCCTGGAGAGGAGGAGGGAGAGCGAGAAGGGGCAAGCTGTAAGTGACAGGCCACCGACCCTCCACTGGTGTCTATTCTAAAAGAATGGGGGGGGGGGAAGCCCAGGTTCCGGGAAATTCTGTGACAGACGAGCCTCGAGTCACCTGTCACGCTCCTTACAGCAGAGCGCCGCTGTTTGTCACGCCTCTGTGCTGAATTGGGATAGAATCTCCGGCCTCATCTCCTCATCACTCAGTGATCAGTCTCAGACGGAGGGGACATCGTTTCATATGGCAGTTTTGCCACCGATTTGGTTTCCTTAAACCTCATTTTGTGAATTTCTGAGCGTGTGGCGCTGGGTGAAGCTGAATCCCGGGACGATGGGGTCACAAAATCACATGAAGACTAACACACAAAATTTGGGGCTTCTTAGAAATCATGGCACAAACTGCTGCTATTGGAAAATCCGTAATTTTCCAATACTCTCAAGAAGGTATCGCCACAATTAATTCATCTAAAGCAATTAGCTGCTCCGTGTTTCCTCTCTATCTATTATTAGCATTAAGCTAATGCAATGAAAATGAGGCTTTGAAGAGGTTTTCTGATTATTGTTTTTTTCCTCCCATAAGGTCCTCTGCGGACCTCCTCGTGCGAGCGCCTCGCCAGATGCCAACCAATCAGCATGCTTCCTCCCCCCCCCCCCCGCAGCCTCAAGAGCAATTAAACAAAATGGGGCGACTCAAGGCCAGCGACCGCGGCGCTTCCGTCCTTGATGGGTAATGGAGGAGCTGTGTGCAGAGCTGGGGTTGCTGGGAAGGCAGATCGCAGGTGACCAGCCCCGCCCACATGGTTCACATGCCCCAGTGAACGCTGGATGCTGTAAAGGCTAATTACTCACGTGTGCGAGGAGACCTACTGCACTGCTACCTAGTGCACTTTTTACCCCATATACTCATAAAATACCCTGCACCTTCAAACCACATTTTAATGTCACAATGGCAGATCAGACGCCAATATTCATTTAATGTAACTAGCTCTCACTTATTGAAAACCTCGGAGCACACAAATGAAAAACATGACAGGTGGGAACTAAGGATGAGTTCAAGGGAATATATTTATATTTTCTTTCTCAAATGAAATGCAGAGCCCGGCTCTGAAGTCCCAGCTCTCAGATAATCTTGCTTAAGGCACTGAATGTTTGTTGTATGTGTTGCTTAGCAACAGTCACTGTCCATAAAAAAAGAAAAACTGAAAAGGAGCTAGAATTGTCACTATGGATATTGCAAGGTGAGAATGACATGACCTTCAATCTGGAAAAATGAAAGGCAAATTATCAGCTTGCGAATCCTCAAGATACATAAACGGAAATTAAATCTACTGCACCGCAAAAACCATGAAGGGACAATGAATGCAGACCAGTGGCAACCCAGGAACATAAGACCACCTAGAGGCTTCATCTGTCATAGGATGGAGGAATTGAGAAACCCAAGTGGTGTTGAGTCATCAACCCGGGAACCACACTGCGCCAGAAAGCTGGACGTGGACTCCCGTGTGGGATTATTGGTCTTGATGTACATGGGGGACACAGTATCACAAATCATGTGCGGACATCCCAGTCTGCCCCTCCCAAAGGAACGCCCTTGAGAGTAATTGAAAATCTGTTTATAAAACAACGCCTGTAAAACTCTAAAAGCCATCTAGCTTCCACTTGTGATATCTACCTCCAGACTACTCCTGAGGTACATCAGCCGCACCAGCAGCATAAGAACATCGCCATAAATCTACCCGACGTGGCCTTTCTGAGACACCTTCTGAACTCCTCCTTGGTCCACTTGATCTGCTGTTTCGTAGCGTTTATAAACGTCATGGGCGGCTGCCAGCGAAGCAGCGGAGGCATTCTTCAGCAGACACAGGCCGTAAAAACACCATAATTAAAGTTTTAATCTTAAGCCCCCTTCACTGCCGCCTTGTTCCCCTTTTCACGCCGGCCAGCTTGGAAACCACAATCCCATTACCGCTGCTAGCTGCTCCCAAAATGCCAGCGATTTCTCACAAATAATTCTTACAAACAATAAACAGCAATAAAGGAGCTGGCACTGTGTCTC